GAGGTTTTAGGGGCCAAAGGGAAGATTAGAGGGCAAGTGACATGTGTGTGTGGAGAAGGGTCGCACTGGGTGGATCCGACTACACTTACCTTGCCATCTGCCCTTGTTTTGTGCAATCCCCTAAGGTCATGTCAGCAATGTATTCCAAGTGTCTGGTATGTGCTTGTTGGGTGTGGTGGGTTCTCAGCAAGTTAAAGCAGGGCATAAATCCCATGGGATCCTGCAGTCTTCATCAAGAAGGATGCCATAGCATAAGACCCACACTAGAAGAACAGCTTGGGGTGCAGGTTCCTGCCTGGTCAAAAAGTAGGGGGAAAAGCCAAGTGACACCCACATTTCTCTGCATTGTGGTAAATATCATGCAAGACCTTAGTGAATACAGTGGTGCCTCAACTTACGAACTTAAATGGTTCTAGAAGATGGTCGTAATTGGAAATGGTCGCAAGTTGAAGCACCATTTCCCATAGGAATGCATTGAAATACCATTAATCCACTCTGGCCAAAGAAAAAATCACACATACCCCCCAAAATCACTGCAAGACTCATTGGAAATGCGATTAATTTCTTCTGGCCGAAGGGGGGGGGGAGAAGAAAAGCAATCAAGCGTGCAAGACTCATCGGAAATGCACAGAAAACAAATGGAGCAGATCAGAAATGCAAAGAAAACAAAGGAAAAGGCAAGGGAAGCATGCAAGACCCATCAGAAATGGGGAACCCCCCCAAAAGCAACCAACCCTCCAAGACCCATCGGAAATTGGAGGAAACCGGAAAAAAAAACCCCAAAAGCAAACAAACCCTGCAAGACCCAATAGAAATGGGAAAAAAACCCAAAAAGCAAAAAACCCTCGCAAGACCCATTGGAAATGGGGGGAAAAACCCAAAAAGCAAACAACCCCCAAGACCCATTGGAAATGGGGAAAAACACTCCAAAAGGCAACCAACTCCCCCAAGACCCATCGGAAAGGGGGAAAAAAACAAAAAACAAACAAAACCCCCAAGACCCATCACAGCATAGAAACATATACCTCCCCCAGCCCAAAACCACACTGCAAAAACACCCAGAACCGTTTTTAAAAAGCATAAAGCAGCACCTTACCTTGCCAGGCAGCCTCCTTGGATTGCACACTCTCTAACTGCTGGGGCGAAAGAGTTGCAACAGACCTGGGCAAAGTGCGGCCTGAGGGCCACATATGGCCCACGAGCCACTCCTGTCCAGCCCGCGGACAGTTTTAAACATCAAAACCATTTATAGCTTTTTGTCTAAAGTTGATCAGTTGCTTGTCTTTAACATACTGCAAACAACCTCTTTAGTATTTGTGAAGATTAACAAGTTTAAAATAAAAACAATCATAACATCACTGTTTCATTTTATTTTTAAGTAAAGTTGGTTTGGCCCCCGAACACAGTTCAGATTTTTCATGTGGCCCCCTTACAGAAATTAATTGCCCAGCCCTGAGCTACAAAGAAGCAGCCTCATCATCACCTACAGTTAGCAATTTGAATTCCCCGTTGTTTTCCCCTGCCTTTTTGTGTTCGTAAGTGGAAGCTCTGGTCACAAGTAGAAGCAAAATTTTGCAGCCAGAGCTGGTCGTAAATAAAAATGGTCGTAAGGAGGGATGTTTATAAGTCGAGGCACCATTGTATAATACCCGCTGTGGTTACTAAGGATGATATTTAGTATGACGCCCATTCAAACGGCTAAGTTCACTTCACCTATGGAAGAAGACTGGATTCTCGGCCACACAGTCTGGTGATTTACTACACCATCGTCTTTCTTATACTTTTGAGCAGGGTTCTTTTTTTTCTTGTTTTGTCCAACCCCCTTTAAAAAGGGGGGCACTTCAAAGCTGTCTAAGAGAATGTAGTTGATCCTAGTGTGTTTTGCTAAGCTGGTGTGTTTCACTTTCTCAACAGAGGAAGAAAACAACTGATGGATGAGATCGCAGGATATAAGCGTCCCTTAAAATTGGTGCCAAAAATCCGGGTTCTGTTCATTGGGCAAATTGGTGCTGGGAAGTCCAGCTTTTTCAACTCAGTAGATTCTGTTTTCCAGGGCCACGTGCTTCATCTTGCAGCGACAGGAGCAGATGACAAAAGTCTGACAAAGAAGGTTAGCGTCAGGTTGCAAAATCTAAAATCAAGATGTGTTCCCAGAAGCTGGCCCCTTTTTCATCAGTTAATCAATCCTCAATGAAACACAAAGCAATTGTCAGGGCTGTTTTTCAACAAAGGTGAATGGGCGAAATCAGGTTGTATTTTGAATAGTGTTCTTTTCCTCTCAGCTGCTGGATCTTCTAATACAGAGAAGAAGGTAGCCTGTAGACTATATTGACTACTGCCATTGGTGTTGTCAACATTTAGGCTCCCCATTCCTATGTGAAACTTGGTACAGTGGTGGCTCGCCTAACGACGATAATACGTTCCAGGAAAATCACTGTTAAGTGAAAACATCGTAAAGTGAAATTAAAAACCCAATTGAAACGCATTGAAACCCGTTCAATGCATTCCAATGGGGTAAAAACTCACAGTCCAGCAAATATCCTCCATACGGCGGCCATTTTAGCTGCCTGTATAGTGAGGAATCCATCCCTAAACACAGCGGGGAGCAATTTTAAGCACCCGGTGGACATTTTGAAAATCTGACGATCAGCTGTTTTTGATCGTCGTAAAGCAAAAATTGTTTCCTGAAGCAGGGAACCAATCATCGCTAAGTGAAATTCCCTCATTTAGACCATTGTTTTGCGATTACAATTGCGATCGCAAAAAGATGGTCATTAAGCAGATTCGTCGTAATACGGGGCAATCATTAAGCGAGGCACCACTGTATGATTTTTCCTGATGGCAACATGGGCATGATATGGTGCTGCAAAAAGAGAGGCAACATTTCACATCCATAAACCAGAAGTTGTTCATTTTTTGGAGGAATTAAATTTCTTGGCTTTTTAAAGTGGATGTTTCTGTATGCACATACTACACAAAAATTCCAAAAGAAACTTCCCTCATTTAGTATTATATTAGAGGATCCTAGAAGACAAGCACATAATCTGTACTGTGGCTACTGGGAGAGGACAGAAGCAAAAACAGTGGGCCAATGACTGTAGTCTCTCTTTGCCAACCTGTTTTGAAGGGCTGTTTTTGGACAATAAAATAGTGAAGCAACAGCGTGTATGAGGGCAACACATAAGTGGTGCCCCGCAAAGCGAGGTTAATCTGTTCCGGATTAACCATCGCTATTCGGAAACATCACTAAACGGAATAGAAAAACCCATTGGAATGCATTAAACTTTGTTTAATGAGATCCAATGGGCCCCAAACTCACCGTTCAGCGATGTTCCTCCACAGTGCTGCCATTTTCGCATCCTCGGTAAGCAAGGGCAGGGCGCAAAAATGCTGCGCGTGGCCATTTTGGAACCGCCGATCAGCTGGCTGAAAATGGGGCCAGCGCTTGGCCAGGAGGGCAGAGGAAGGCTCCCCCTCCCTCCTCCCAAGTGCACCCCCACTTTTTCGGCTGGCTGACCGGCCGGCGATCGGGCAGGAGGGGGCGCGAAGGCTCCCCCGCCCCCTCCCGAGCGCA